GGGTGGTTCCATCTAAAAAAAAATTTGTGCGACGGGTGGTCCCGCCTGTCCACTCGGGAATTTTTGTTTCTATATATTTTAAATTTTTTTCTAAAAATAAATGACCAAGCCAAAAAAAAATTGTAAACATACACATTTTACCGCTAACTCGGTGGGTTTTACATTTTCACCAACTAGAGCGGCGGCGGTAAGAAACTACTACCGCCGATTGAGTCCTCGGAATGATCTATTCCTCCAGTCAATCGTAGATTATCAATGCTCCACATATATTACTCCTATATTAAATAAAATAGTTCCTGTTGCACACGTGGACGGTCAAAACTAAAAAGGAGCGTGGACTCCAAATCTTAAGGGCAAACATGCATGTGAACGTACACATAAATCTCTGCACCAAAAAAGACTGTAATATTATCGTCGCGATACCAATCTCAATCTCTACTCACATATCCATGTCCGATATGAATCATTCTACACTCACATTTGCATCTTTATAAAGAGAGACACGCACCTAAATCTCTACACCTAAAAGACTGCATTGTCTACTCGGTGATACGAAATCTCAATCTCTGCTCACATGTCCACGTCCGATACGAATCATATTCTACACTCATGGCTCATGCGTTCGCGTCCTATCCGGTTCCAATGCGAAGACCAGATCCACATGTTTGCGTCAGAAATAAAAGTCGTTGAGCTCACGCACCCACGTCTAATTACTGAGCTTTAGTCCAAAATGATGAGCAAACCGCCTCCCCACGAATAGTAGGCCCTCATGTCGTCTCCTTCCAATCAATCTGGTAGGGTCTCGTAGTTTTTTTTTTATAAATCAGTCAACGTAGATGTAGACAAAAGAAATCATGACATAGGTGTAACGCACGGTCATTATCTAGTCAATGTAAAAAATCAAGCATGAGTCATTTTATCTGTATTTTACATTGTACGTTCTGTGGTTTGAAATTAAAATTTCTCAAAATATTATATTTGAGTTTCGGTTGACTTGTTTAGGTCCAAAGTAATTTTTTTTTCAAAATTTCAAAAAACTATCTAAATTCATGATTTAGAAAATATAGAATTTTATCATGTAATTTATTAGCATACATGCTCAAAAATTTGAGCTTGTTTAGAATACATTTAAACTTACTTTAATATTAAAACAAAACCTAATTTTTAGCATGCACTTTATTAAAGAATTTTTTATTTCGTTGAGCATATATGCTAAGAAAAAACATGATAAAATATTATTTTTGTAGACGTTTTTTTAAATTATTGGCAAACATTTTGGAGCTTAACGGTCAAGCCAAAAACTCAAAGATTGCTTTATGGGAAGAATATTAACTTCAAAATTGCAAAAAGTGTGTGTCAAATACAATCAAAGTGGTCGTGCTAGATTTCTAACATACTACCTCGGTTTTAGAAAAAAATGCAATTCTAGCACAATATTACGTTTTAGTACCTTAAGTTTGACCGATTATAAATAAAAAAGTATCAATGTTTATAATAATAAATAAATACCATTAGATTAATTACGAATGTATTTGTATAATAAATTAATTTAAAATCATAAATGCAAATATTATTCGCTAGAAACTTGATCAAACATGAACAATTTTTTTTAGAACGCAACTCATCAAACATGCATTCTTTTCAGGACATAGTATATTTGGAAGATTATAATATTTTTTAAGGCCCCTATGTCATTGGTTCTAGCCTTCTAGGGTAAAGGAATTTAAAAAAGGTTACGTACAGAGCTGCAAAAGTATACTATATATTTACAAAATTTTGGCGTAGACATTTATTTTGTAAAAAAAAACAAATTTAAAAAAATGTATATATATAGAAATAAAAGAAAATATCCACCCGAGTGCAGGACGATGAGTCTTTTCTCCTCAATTTTTTACAATTTGGTCTTTTTTTAAAAGAAAATTTAAGTTTGATCTCCTAAGAGACTTAAACTCATCTTTGGACTCTAGAGGTCGGCGTCAGGACTTATGGCGCTGAGGTAACACGTCTTGACATCACAGATCTTGTCTGTAAGATGTCTGGCCGTACACACCAGGATATCTTAGGTGACGTTCACGTGACCGGTAGCTCGATGCCAAAATAAATTGATGCCGACCTTAGAGCCATATATTCTGACGTCGACCATGGATTTAAAGCGTGTGGCCAAGTGGAGAGAGAGGTGGGGCCCTGGACTAAGGCGACGTCCTCGGGTGGAAGACCAGGCGCGTGCGGCGCGCGCCACGTACGCGCACAGCCTAGACGGCTAGACCCGTCTGTCTCTGCTTGGTTGTCGGGCTGCGTTAAACTGTTCTTCAAACTGTTGATCAGGCTTCATAGACGTCTCGCTGCAACTGTCATCGATTTGATCTGCAGTACTATAAGTATGCATGAGCTTTCGCAATCGCAGTCGATTCTTTTGGTACTACTAGCTTCTAAAGGGGTCCATAGGGCTGTTTAGTTGGTGAGTTAAAAAATTTTGGGTGTTACATCGGATGTGTCGGAAGAATGTTGGGAGGGGTTTTTAGATACTAATAAAAACCAAATTATAGAACCCATCAGAAACTGCGAGACGAATCTAATGATACTAATTAATCGGTCATTAGCACATGTGGTTACTGTAGCACTTAAGGTTTTTCATGGACTAATTAGGCTTAAAAGATTCGTCTCGCGATTTCCAACCAAACTGTGCAATTAGTTTTTTTCGTCTACATTTAATGCTCCATGCATGTGTCGTAAGATTCGATGTGACATTTTGGGTTAAAAATTTTTGGAAGTGCAAAGGATACGTGGTGCAGTTTCCACGCACAGCAATCACCGATCAACGTCCTGTTGAAAAATACTATAGCTAATTTGTTACGAGAGAAAAATACTATTTGTTGGTTAAAAAAATACGACTTATAAATCATGCAAACATACGATTGATTCTATACAGGGGAGTCAAATATGAATGCGGCAAAAGTGATTTTTTTCCAAATGGTAAAATACCGGTGCCTGCCTTTGTTTCTTGTCAAACTCCAGTGTAGTGTACTGTTCTGCATGGTCCATGCCTGCGACGAGTTACGCTGGATTGGTCAATCGGCTTAGCTAATCACTGTGTGACAAGCGACGAGTTACAGTAATGGGAAACAAGGTATAGGGAATCAATTAGTACGAACATGGAATGGAATGGAAGTATCAAATCAAAAGGCCAAGATGGTTGGCCAAACAGACCGAATGGTTTATGGTAACAGAGGAACGTGCCATGCCTTCTTATCACGCCGCTGCGATGCCATCACCGGGATGGGACAGCACGATCGAGCCCGTCCGCCCCACCCGCGCAGCCGCATGGGTTGATGGGGACGGCCGACGGGGTGTTGCGCAGGCTGTGCGCGCATCTGGCGCGCGCCGCACGCGCCTAGTCTTCCGCCCGAGAACGTCGCCTTTGTCCGGGGCCCCATCTCTCTCTTCACCACGGCGCCCTTTCATAGCGCGAGAGAACTGCGGCCACACGCTACATGACACCGAGCCATGTATTCTGGAGCGTTGACGGCGCGCGCGACGAGACGGACAAGGCTGGCGAGGACGGCCGCAGAGGAGTGTGCGTAGCTAGCTTGCTCTGCTGTGGCCTGCGTGTGTGTGTTTTTGTTGTGTGCTGTGCTTGCTGCTGGTGGAGGAGAAAGGAGATGGAGGTGGGGCCCACGACGTGCACGACACGACAGAAAGGTAGGACCCACATGGCGTGGTGTCGTCGTGCGAACAGCTACGTTCTTGGCTGAGAATATGGCAAATATGGTTGCAGATTACGCTCTAGGCAAAAAACATGGCGAACATGGTTGGCGAGTTAGGAGCCATCGAGGAGAACTCTCGTTGGGAAGCTTTGTGCGGTCACAATCTCTTTCGATTACTACATATTGTTTTTCTAAAAAAATCATGAGCAATGCTAAGTTTAACATAACACACATTATGTGATATCTATATCTAATAATAAAGAGCCAAAATTTCCGCTGTTTTTCTGGTATCCATTTTGTTGGTATGGCCTCCTCTAACCAACTCCATAAATGTGAAAACTATTTCCGTTCGTCTCTCTACAACTCTGCAGTTTTATATATATAATAACATAGGTAGGCCTATGTGAGATAACATGGATAGATACGAATTCAAATCATATCTATACTCTATACCTAATAATAAAGGGGCAAAATTTACACCGTTTTTTTTAATCCGTTTTTTTAGATGGCCTAATAATCAAGAGCCTAATCAAGCGGTCTGTGTTTGACCACGACAAGGAGGCGGCAACATGTATCTTGATGAGAAAAATAAACCAAGATCAATTCTCTAGATATGTATGTGAGGACAGCTAGATATCACATGCGCGCCCCACCTTTCTGTCGTGTCTAGCCGACCTCAGCTGTTCGTACGACACCACGCCATTTGCGCCCCACCTTTCTATCGTGTCGTGCACGTCGTGGGCCCCACGCCCTCTTCTTTCTCCATAAGCAGCGTGGTTGTCCTCGTCGGCCTTGTCCGTCTAGAATATATGGCTTCGAGGTGAGTGTCAAGATTCAGGTGGCGAGCTCGGTGCTAAGATACGTAGCGTCGAGGTATCGGCTATCTAAATGTTATTTAGATCTCTTGCTATGTATGATTATATACCTCGGAGCTAAGATTTATAACGTTAAGACGTATTAACTCGGTGTTATAAGTTCTATCGCCGATCCTAAAGTCAAAGAGGAGGTTAAGTCTTTTAAAAGACCCAATATAAATTTTATTAAAAAAAATAAATTGTAAAAAATTGAGGGCAGCACTCTGAAGCTGTCTCAATCATGGCAGACTTCCTTCTCCCTTCTTATTAAAAGGCCCAGGCAGAGCAAGACGCAAAGCTTAACCAAACCACACCATTTCCGAAACCCAAGCTATCAGCTCTTTTCTGGAGTCAACTGCTCCGATCCATCCTCGTGGAAGCCATTTTCTGTCGCGCAGAGCTGTCGAGCTAGCTACCTTGCTGACAAGCAAGCCACAGAAACCTGTGTGTTTCCGGGGTGAAACAAAATCGAGCGATAACAATGGCCGCCCTGAATTCAATCGACGACGACTCCCGTTGGCCTGAAGTTGAGAAAATCAACAGCTACGCCATGTTCATGGCCTACCTGAATCTGATCGTGCGGGGTTGGGATTCCTGATGTCTACGTGGGCCACGGTTGTCCTCCTCGGTGGCTTCGTCGCCAGCCTCGGGAAGTATGACTTCTGGTGCCTTACCTTCATCACGGTCCTTCAAACTGTAAGGTTAGTACTCGCCTTAGGCTTTTATGTTAGTATAAACTCTACGAAACTCTCTCCATGTCTCTATCTTTTCACAATTAATCTACCAAGTTATTAAATCTGTTCGTTTGTCAGTATTAAATGCAAATAAAACTCAGATAAAAGTCTCGTTAAGACTGACCTTATTAGTTACTAGCAAATGCGTTACACGAAACCCAATACATCTTAAATTGAACTCCATATTATCACTGGATACGACTTGTTCTAGCTGGAGTAAGCATGTGTCACCAGCGGTGGAGCCCGAATTTCAACCTTGTATTCCCACTCCCACGTTAAAAAGTATAATAATTCATACGTTTAAAATTCCGTTCAAAGTAGTACGTTACTGATAATTAAAGTCACAAAATAGTCAAATAACAATATGTTCAGCTCTAAAATATGCCTGAAATAAACTAATAAATAATAAAGAACTTACAAAATACCTGTTTGTTCTTCATTTTGTAAACCATAGCGATAGCGCTGTAAATCAAATATCTGTAAATAAATCATAAATCCTCAACCAATCTTTGCTTTATAGACTCCTAGTTGCAAATTGCAGAACAAGCGAACAACTTGTTCGCAAAAAAAGAACAAGTGAACAACTCACCTTGTAAAATGTAAATCACTATTCACTAAATCCTCACTAGAGTATTGGACCTAAGTCCTGGGCTGGACGCCTGTACCTGGCCGACAGGCCACCGCCTCCGCTCGCCGGGTCACCAGCCGCCCCTTGCCGCCCGATCGCCAGCTCGCCTCCCACCGCTCCGCGCCATCGCCCTACAGGCTCTAGCCTAGCTATCTAGGACCTAGGTGCGAAGCCGCAGCCACACTCCTCGGGCGTGTGCAGGCCCGTACTCAGTTTGCATGCTTTCGTACTACCAACGCGCGTCGTCAGCCACAATTTAATTGGGAAACAAACTCCCGCCTCCTACCGGTGAACCACCGCCTGCGCCTAGGGTTAAAGAGTCATCGAGGGGGCTAGGGAGTCCGCTGTTCGCTAGTCTAGGGTCGTGAGGGTGAGTCCTCGTCGCATCGCAACCGTGAGGGTTAGGACGTCAGGGAAGGGAGGCCAGCAGTTCGGGTGGAGCAGGCCTAGTGGGCCTAAGCCAGCCTGTGAGGGTGAAAGATTAGGAGACATGCCAAAAGGCCATTTCCTTGCAGCTCATGGGTTTGCATACCACTAACCTCATGGGTTTGCGGCTCATGCATAGGTTGGCCACCATTGAGGGCTAGTGCATTGACTACCCACTCATCTTATCTTCAGTTGGAATGACAGGATCAGTACCGAAGTTGAGGATCTAATTATGCAAAAAACAACAAGCTTCACTTGAGTCTTATAGGGGTGAAAGGATTTGTTGTTTAAGATGCGAAAGCGGTTCTTTAATGAACTGAAAGCCCTCTCAGTTGTAACAACTATGCCTAAAGTTGTACAACCCCCTTACATTTGTAGGATAATGATGTTTCCCCCATACTAAGATAAATGGTACCTATCGGGTTCATAATCCCGGTGTCCCTCATAGACCAACTTCTCAGCAAAAGCTCGGCCCAGCAAACGACGTTGCGAACGATGCGTAAACTCCTGGCCCGGCCCAAACACCTAAATGATAGTCCAGAAGGGCGATCCAATCTCCGACCAAAAGGCCTCGCTAAGAAAGAACAGCGCTCGCTTTCGACTCGACCCGTCTCACCGATCGGAAGGCCTAGCCAAACACCGCTTCCAAACTTTGACCCGTGTCTCCGACCGGGGATGCACCGAACCCCTGCTTACAGCTCTTCTCCGACTGGCGCAGTCAGAGCCGACTAGAACCAACCGACCGGGGACACCTGCTCGGTGAGGACCAGGAAACAGACGGAGCAAGTAAGGCAGGGCACTCAAGTCAACCGTAATACCGAGGACCGTACCCTGTACACCTACAAGACAGTACCGACAGGACATGACAGAAGAGTGCCCTACAACCTTCCAGGCATGTTAGAACCCAAGCAATGTTATGGGCGCCGACATTTGTCCTATATTGTTGTAGACGCCAACAAACTCCCATACCAGACGAGCATGGTAAAACCCCTTATATGCCTCTAGGTATCAACAGTATGGCAGGCACCGACGTCTGTCATACCAGAAGAAGAAGACGCAACCTCCCACATGCATGACATTAACAGTGTTATGGGCACCTACAACCATCTTGTACCCGACGGTGTGGGCAATGAGACTTAGCATACGTACACACACTCTCTCATTCACTTGTAAGGCTACCCCCTTCATCTATAAAAGGGGGTGCGCTTTCTCCCAAAGGGGGGAATCAGTCCACAACAACTCGAACAACACACACGATCCGAATGACCAAGGATCTCAATGAACTAACATACGTTCGAACACTTAGCATATAGCGGAGCTCCCGTCACTCTCGGTCCTTTAGACCAGAGTCCGACCGACCTCTTGTACCCCCATCTCTCCCTTCTGTTTGTAACCTCATAACAAACTTTGAGCACCTGAGCTTAGGAATAAAGTCATCGACCGACTCAAAATGAACGTAGGGCACGTTGCCCGAACCAGTATAAACCCTGTGTCATTGAGTGCTAGGCCACGTCCGATCACAACGTAAGGCAAAACTACAAGTATTTACGTGTTGGTCATTTTCTGCACCGATCGTTGGCGTCGTCCGTGGGGAAGACGTGGTGCGTTCACGCTTTTGGTCATCGGATGGCCCACTTTTCCGCCACCTTCGCCATGGCGGCTCAAGCGATACGATTCGCTTTGGCTCGTCGGAGTTTCCCGCACTTCCACCTGTTGGGACGTGGGTTCCACCCGTCTTTGAGCCATCCCAGGCCTTCCTCTTCGGAAGCCTGGATTTCATCGCCGACCAGCACGGCGTACTACACCTCCGCGAGGAGGCACTCGTTCTGGCGCCCGTCGGAGGGGCGCCCTCCATCGGCTCCGGGACACGATGACTTCAACAATGAGGCACTGCGCTTCATTCCGAGCAAACGCTCTGCTTAAACCCCGCTATGAGTAATATACATGCTGTTATTTACTCGCTTTTTACTATCTTTCGCCGATTATCCGGAGGGACCGCATTGTCCGCACCGCAACCACCATACGACCGGTTCCCCTACGGCCTTGTGTTCCCCGCGGACGCGTACGCGGGGTTCTAAAGGACGCTGGCGCCGCCCCCTCTTATATCTGAATTCGTGGGAATGGCGAGCTATGCTCCCGCCACTTTCCATAAACTCCTGGATGACGAGGTTGAGAGCGACGGCTCCAGCATCGGTGATGGGGCACCTAGCCACCGTCCGTCCCAGGAGTGCGCTATGGTGGTCGCGCCGGGACAGCCGCCGGTGATAGCGGAGTCCTTGCAGACTCACACCCTCGGACCCTCATGCGGGGGCCCTCGTGCTTGCACAAGAGCATGACGAGGAGCTACTACAACGGCGGCAGAACCAACCGTCACCTGCGCCGGCGCGCTCGGCACACCACGCTGCGCCCTGTGCGCATAACCCGGTGAGCGGCGCCCGGGGTCGCGCCCGCCAGGTCCAGTGCAACATCATGGACGGGGGAACGATCCCCCATAGTTTGCTTTCGGGCTGGCCAGAACATCGCCGCCGCGGTAATGCTTCTGCGCGGCCTTCCAGAGCTGAACGACCCTAGGAACAGGCGATCCACTGGAACCTCCGGGCACTGGTGGAAACCGCCGCCGTTCAACAGGCGGAGAGCTCCGCATCGCGACACCGACTCGCGGCCTCTCTCCCCTCCGGCGGGAGCGGGACGCACCAGATGAATCACTCCATTCGCACCACCGCTGAGGCGAAGCGCAAAGACAGAGGCCGCAGCAGGAGGCTCATGCCAAACCAAGATGCCCGCTCGGCCGCGTCATCGGGCGAAGCCAAGATGCTCATGCGTCATCAAGAATCGCCGCATGATGATGATGATGACGTCCTTTGGGCGGCCATGAGGGCAGGCGACATAGACCCTGGCCGGACTATCACGGGGAGCGGTGAAACGCACCCCAGGCGTGGTCACCGGTCGAACGACCGGAGTCCTAGCCTTGATGGTGGTCGACATCCAGAGAGCGCCATTCCCACGGCGCTTCCGACCCCCTACCAACATCGCCAAGTATACCGGGGAGACGAACCCCAGTATATGGCTTGAAGATTTTGGCTCGCCTGCCAAGCCGGTGGAGTGGATAAAGACCACTTCATCATTCAGTACCTCCCTATCTGCGTGGGGGAACATGTTCGAGCATGGCTTGAATTCCTCCTGCTGTGCGATAGCATCCACGACTGGACGGACCTCAAGAGGGTCTTCGTTGGGAACTTCTAGGGGAGGTATGTCCGTCCTGGGAACTCCTAGGACCTCAAGAGCTGCCAACAGGAGCCCAGTGAGCCCCTGCGAGATTACATCCGTCAGGTTCTCAAAAGATGCAACTCCTCTCTGATGTCGTCGATGCAGACGTCATCAGCGCGTTCCTCTCTGGGACAACCTGCGAGTCCCTAATCCACAAGCTTGGCTGCCTGAAGCCTCGTACCACCCGTGACCTGCTCGAAGTCGCCATAAACTACGCCCCCATGCGAGGAGGCGGTCGGAGCGGTCTTCAACGGAGGCCAGGACAAAGGCAAGACCAAGCGTGAGGATCAGGATGAGGGCCCCTCCATGCAGAGGGGCAAAAAAAACAAGAAAGATCGTCGCCGATCTGCCAACTCCATGTTGGTCGCCGCGGCTGATCACATAGGACAAGCAGCCCACAGGGCCATGGGACCACTTTAACGAGCTCATGGAGATCCCGTGCACCAACCACGCCTACCCTATCAAACACCTCTATAAGGACCGCAAGCTCCTCAAGCGCTTTCTGCGACAGGCTGGCGGGCCGAAGGAAGGAAAAGGCAAGGAGGCAGCGGCCAAGAAAGGGGGCGTGGCGTGCAAGGATTCGAACGACTGAAGGTCCCTATACGGTGACCGAGGTGATCCGATC